ATCTTTCTTATCATACATTCCCCCAGTCTTTTAAAATTCTTTACTTCTTTTTTTGCCAGTTCATGATACTGCCCAGAGTCCCCTGTATTTCTTCCCTTTTTATTCTTCATGTTTTCCCTAGTGGGCTGTTCCCTTACAGTAAATCCTGATCACATCCATTTCCTTATCTGCGCCCCAGATTTCTCATTGCAGCTTTAAACCATGCAGGCTCTAACTATGAGAGCTACATGGTCTTGCATTGAGCATGAACCAAATATAACTCATCAACTCTCCAACTTTAACCCTACTCTACCATGGCCAAGCACAGTTCAGTTTCTTCTCATCATTTAGCCAATGATATTTCTATCTAGGCAACTAGTCATGCCTCAGATCGTTTCCAAAAACCCCACGTTTTCCTCGATCTTATGTCTAATCAGTCACTTGGTTTAATTACTTTGGTCTTTCCTCCCTTCCGACTCCCATTGCTATAACCTTATTTCAAAGTACCTATTATTTTTCGACACTTGATCTTAGCCAAAAGGCCGAGAAGCGATAGTACCTATTATTTTTCATCTGAAATACTATAATGGTTTGTTTGTTTGTTCACTGATTTCCTTGCCATTGCACTACTCTTTTTAATTTCTATTCCAGGTAGAAGACAGGATAATCTTTCTAAAGTTTATGTTTGCCAAAAAGATATAATAAACTTTATTTTCTCGTATTTAGTATTGACACTTCTCCTCAAAGTTTACATGGCAAAGTCATGATTCACCAAGGCCTAAATTATCCTACAAGAATACATAGAATCACTGTACCCCCCCTAAAAAAAAATTAGATTGTGTTCCACCGTTTCAGGCGGTAGTATATGGACAAGAATCAATGATACCGAAGGATGAAGTTCAAGCTGCACTGAAAGCATTAGCCAAAAGCAAGGCTCCAGGAATTAATGAAATACCAATTGAAATGTTTCAACAAGCTGAGGAAACACTGAAAGTACTTACCTGTCTGTGCCAGGAAATTTGAAAGACCGCTACTTTGCCAAGTGACTGGGAAAGATCCATATTTGTATGCATTCCAAAACAGGGACAATAGAATGCTCAAATTATAGAACAAAATCTTTGACATCACATGCAAGTACAGATTGGCCTCAGGATCACCCAGCAATGGTGGCAGCAGTACATTGACAGGGAGCTGCCAGGGGTTCAGGCTAGATTCCGAAGTGGATGTGGAACAAGGGATATTAGTGCTGATGCCAGATGGATCTCAGCTCAAAGTAAGCAATCCTCACAAGATTAGATTCTCAGAAGTTGAGGCCCCACGTTTCGCAAAGATCAATGAATAGCCTGTGGAAAGGATTGCTCAGGTTGTGCGGTTCCTCACTAAGCCTATCCGCACAACAGAGAAACAAGACAAAAACTAGAGATACATGAAGAAATGTATGTTGGGAAAGACAATTCTATTAACTATTTAGTACCCAAGGAGAGTCTTGATTGTTACATTACCATTGAAATATGTTTTCTTGCTAAATTTTCTTCCTGTTGAATTTTTTGTTTTTATGATGTAATAAATTATAAATATATGTCTATGAATAAAATTTTATATTTTTGTGTAAGAAAAAAGTAGATAATGGCAATTGATACACTTTTCAAGCTACTAAGTCTTAGAACAGCCAATTGAGCTCTATTATTTTCTGTTTATATTTGAAAATACTAGTCACTAAAGAAGCAAATATTTCAAAAATATTAAAAAACCTTTTGAAATACTATGATAGCGATGCTACTGTCCTACATATCACAATTTAAATTTTAAAAAGTTAAAATGAAAACATAAATCCCCGTACAGTTAATAGGATAGATTTTAAATGAAATTTCTTTAAATCTTAGACAAAAACAGCAGTTCTGTAATTTACACTGATAAACTTAGAACTCTCTAGGTGGCTGTTAAAGATTCTAATACTGGGGCTGGGGTAGACTGAGAATGTTGTGAAACTAGAAATCTAAATAGGGTTACCAAGCAATCAATTTATATATAAAAAATTTGTGAGATTTTGAATTTTGTTCTTTACTTTAATTTCTTAGTGCAGATATTTCTTCACTACTCTTATAATCTTATAGGACTTTTATTATTTTAGCTCATCAAAAGAATATTTTCTAATGAAAATGTGGCTTAAATATCTAGATTAAAATGTGTGCACACATATCTTAACATTCTGATGTTTAAATAAATATTATAGTTTCTTTTCAGACCTTTACTGGAATACTTTTGTTACACTAAAGAATTTGATGGCCTGAGCAAATGTTTGTTTGACTATTTTTACCTGTTTGTAGGAAAAGTTAATTATATTATGAATTTTTCAGATAAAGGTAAGAAAACAGCATGCAGTCAATGGGAGTCTAAATAAGACCCTAATGATAGAATAGTAGTTCTGGTTTAATGTGAATAATAAATTTATTGACAATTGACTATATGCCTAGGGTCTTAGGGACTAACACATTCGATGGTCCACCAACCCTCTAACATTAGTACTATTATTGTTCATATTTTACTAACAAGGAATTGAAAGACACAGATTAATTAAACTTTAAAGTTAGGGGCATATCGTTTATGTTTACACACAGAGGATGATTGAACCACACTTACTAATTTTACACTAGTACATGAAAACAAGAGCCTATATACCTTCTTTCCTATCTTCCCTCCCTTCCTCCTCTCTAACTTTTACCTTTTGTCTTTCATTTCATCCTGTCCATCCTCTATTTAGAACGAAACAATATTTTTAATTTTTTTTTATTAAGGAAACTTGGGGTATAGCATACCAGGAGTCAACCATAGCCAGGGACTAAATTCAGCTTGCAGCACAAAATTTTATTGGGACATATTGTTATGTTGTTAGGTGTTACTGAGTAGAGTCTAACTTATTGCAACTCTATAGGGCAGTGTGGGTGGTCCTGTAAGCTTTCCTAGGCTGTACTATTTACAAGGGGAGATCATGAGTCTTTTCTTCTGTGGAACCTGAGCCACTGGTGGCTTAAGATCACCAACCTTTGGTTAGCCGCGGAGTGCTTTCCTATTGCGTCCCAAGGGTCCTGCAGTGAACATACCCTTACCCATTAGTTTAGGCATTGTTTTGGACAGTTAAATACAACAGTGGTAGGGTTGAGTAAGTATGACATAGCTTGTATGGGCTACAATGCCTGGAATACTTACTGTGTATATTTTATCAGAAAGGATTTCTTATTCCCAACAGTATTTTGGAAGCTATTACATCTTCAGGGTACATGCAAGATGCTAAAACTATACCAATAGTCATCCATATAAATATTATAGCTGGTTTTAAGGGCTGTCAGCTCAGCTCTAACTCATAGTGATACTATGCACAGCAGAAGTTACTATGCACTACACCATCTTCACTATCTTTGTTTGCCACTTTACAACCCACTGTTGCAGCCAAGGTGTTAACCCATCTGTTTAAGGTCTCCCTCTTTTTCACCAACCATCTAGCAAGCGTTTTATCTTTCTCCAAAGAGGGAACCTTCCTAGTAACATCTCCAACGTATGTGAGGTGAAGTCTTGGCATTGCAACTTCTAAGGAATGTTCTAGCTGTGCATCTTCCAAAACAGATGTGTTCATTGTGCTAGCTGTCCATTCAATATTTTGCCAGGACCACAATCCAAATAGAGAAGTTTCCTAGTTCATTGTACAAATTTTACATGCATATCAGATGATAGAAAATACCATCAAGTCAGGCACACTTTAGTCTTCAGATTGATATCTCTGCCTTAACACTTTAAAGATTTTTTGCAATTTATTGGCCCAATGCAGAAGGTTGTTTGACTTCTTCACTGCCACATTTACAGCTATTGATTGTGTGTCCCTGTAAAAACAAAATCTTTGAGAACACCAGTCATGTCTTCATTTTTATGATGTTGCGTGTTGGTCCAGTGGTGGGATTTTTAGTTTCTTTATGCTGAAGGATAATCAAAACTGAAGACTTCCATCTTCAAACTTCATCAGAAATTGCTTCAAATCATGTCAGCTTTTTACAAAGTTGTATACTCTGTGTATTGCAAATCATTAATGAGTCTTCCTCCAATCCTGATTCTTCTTCATATAATCCAGTTTCTCAGAAGCCTACAGATTGAATAAGGATACAACCCTGGTGCATCCCTTCCCTGATTTTAAACCATCGGGCCTCTCTTTGTTCTGTTTAGAAAGCAACCTCTTGGTGTGTGTACCAGTTTCACATGAGCACAATAAAGGGTTCTGGAATTCCATTCTTCACAATGTTATCCATTTCTTGTTACAGTGGAATGTTTCTGCATAGTCAAGAAACCATAGGTAACATTTTTCTGGTGTTTTCTGCTTTCTTTCAAAATTCTTTGACTTTAGCAGTGCTTTCCTTGTTCCACATCCTAACTGAAATCAAGCTGGAATAGAAAGAAACATTCATGCCTTTGAATGATTCATTTTATGCGAATATTGAAAATCGACAAATATGATTTAGGATTTAAAATCTGGGATTAAGGTAAAAGTTTTTCCCATTTAAGTAAATCAAATGAGTAGAAAGACTATAATAACATAAAGACAGTTTTAAATATTTAAATTACAAACAATTGGAAAAAGTAAAAGCGTTAAAAAACCTGAGAATATGTCAACTATGTGACTTAATGTTATTATTAACTCATCTGTTTCTATAGATCATTCATCTGACTTTGCGCTTTAATTTTAAGATTAAGCATCCGATCTTTCTCCTGGAGCTCTCTTTCATGTGACTGTTGGAAATGCACAAGGTCACCTGTACTGTTCTGACGCATAGAGATGTTAAGAAATAGCCATTTAGTTTTGCTTACCTCCTAATATTAGACATTCCTCAGCAAATGAGTTCAATAAGTTCAATGGAAAATATGAATTTTTATGTTATAAAATTATTAGTTATATTTATAGTAAGTATTTTTGTTCAATAATTTAAAAGCCATGTAATTCATAATGTGCTATTTTCGTTGTTTTTCTTTTTTTCTAGATTTGGATGACCCAGTAGTAACTGTTCATCAAAGTATAGGTGAAGCAAAGGAACAGTTTTACTACGAGAGAACAGTGTTTCTCAGATGTGTTGCTAATTCCAATCCACCTGTTCGGTACAGCTGGAGACGTGGCCAGGAGGTGTTACTACAAGGATCTGATAAAGGAGTTGAGATTTATGAACCCTTCTTTACACAGGTAGGAAATAAGTTACAGTACTTCACTTCACTCCACTAGGCTATGTCCCTAATTTGAGCAGTATACAATACTAATTGTAAAGATAATTTCTTGAAATATTACACTAAAAACAATAATATGTGCTCACCTGAAAGATAAGGGGACTCAAATATTGAGTGACATCTGTAGTCCTTTAGTACTTAAGTAGCTTAAGTAGCTACTTAAGCTACTTACTTGGTAGCTAACTAAAAATCTTACCTCTAGAAAAATACTCTTTAATTTATTATGTTCTTTATTTATAGTTATTTTCATGATAAATTATATGACTATACATTTTACTGATTGAATTATTTTTATAAAAATATTTCTTAAATGCAAAGGTTTATATTTTCTTCTTGGCAATGGTAAATCATTTCAGAAGAATGGTGGAATATATTTGAGGTTTATTCTAACTTTTGTTTTCCTAAAAATCTATCTTTAATTTCCTTTATTTTCTTTGAATTAGTATAATAGGGCTTTAATTGTGTAAAGCAGAAATATCTAATCAGCTATTTTAAATTTAATAAAAAGAAAATCAAATTAATGGTCCATAATTGTCAATGAAAATTTAAAGTCTTCTGTAATGTATTAAGAATGGAAAATTGAAGCCTGGTCCCTTTGGCCCTTCATGATCACACATGTTGGTGTGCTGCTTCCATGTGGACTTTGTTGCTTCTGGGCTAGATGGCCGCTTGTTTACTTTCAAGCCTTTAAGTCCCCAGACACTATAGGTCTCGATAGCCAGGCACCATCAGCCTTCTTCA